ACACCACACCAACGCAATATTACACAATACACACACACACACACACCACACCAACGCAATATTATACAATACACACACACACACACCACACGAACGCTACACAATACTACTCAGCCAGTGCGCACCTCCACATTGACGCCCACGCCCACACTGCCTGGTTTGGTGGGGCCGTTGGCGGGGAGTGGATTGGAGGTCATCATATGCGCTGCCTCAGACATGGCGTACGCCTCAATGACCGGCGCGTGGAACGTCTGTTCAAGCCGTTGCATGACCACGGGGGCCAGTGAGGACGAGCAGCTGCGGATGAATCTGAGAGAGGGCATTAAAACTACACGTGAGGAAATAGGGAGTGGGGAAGCTGTACTTACTGCGGATGAACCTGAGAGAGGGCATTAAAACCAAACGTAAGGGAATAAGGCGTGGGGAAGCTGTGCTTACTGCGGATGAACCTGAGAGAGGGCATTAAAACCACACGTGAGGAAATTAAGCGCGGGGAAGCTGTGTTTACTGCAGATGAACCTGAGAGAGGGCATTAAAACCACAAGTGAGGAAATAAGGCGTGGGGAAGCTGTGCTTACTGCGGATGAACCTGAGAGAGGGCATTAAAACCACACGTGAGGAAATTAAGCGCGGGGAAGCTGTGTTTACTGCAGATGAACCTGAGAGAGGGCAATAAAAACCACAAGTGAGGAAATAAGGCACGGGGGAGCTGTGCTTACTGCGGATGAATCTGAGAGAGGGCATTAAAGCCACACGTGAGGAAATAAGGCACGGGGAAGCTGTGATTGAAGGCATCTTCGGGGATTGCATCCATGGGGTGCAAGAGATGTGTATATGTGCCTCTGGTGAATAGACAACTTCAATGAGAGTAGTGCCAGTGCGAAGAGTGGGGCTGCACACACAGGACCGTTCAGAGATGCGCAGAGACACGCAGACAGTGCACACCAACCAACTATGCATACACGCACAGCACCAAGAGTACACGCGTTTACATGTTCGAATGACTCACCAAAATATCATTCATTTCTATCAGGAAAGTCCCAATTGTTTTGTACGTTTTGTACTGCGGTAACAATCGGCTTTGTGCGATTGGCCCATTTAACTATCTACGCCAACAGCCCCCTTGACCGGGGTCTTGACAAGCACCTCGCTTCAATCTACACCAAAGTCATGTAGCGATGCTTCATTCCCGTGCGGAATCAATGCACCTCAACTCAACATATAAACCCAGACACACCTCAACTCAACATATAAACCCAAACGCACCTCAACTCAACATATAAACCCAAACGCACCTCAGCTCAACATATAAACCCAAACGCACCTCAACTCAATATATAAACCCAAACGCACCTGATTTTGGGGGGGTTGCTGGCGGGATAGTCCTGCGGCGCTCTCAGCAGCAGGATCTGGTGGATGGAGGGGACAGCGGTGTACCATGTGCACTCGTTGGCCACAAAATCAACCCAGAAGTTGGTAGCACTGAACGCCCCCCCATTGCCAGGCAGCACCACGGTACCACCCGTGGATAAGGGAGCCAGAAGACCACACATCAGACCGTGGACATGGAATCTATTGGGTTGGAGGGACGTGTAGGATGAAGTGGAGAAGATATCAGGGATGGGGGTGCAGATGTCGGGATCAACGGCGCTACATGCAGACATACACTACTGACACATGTGGGGGCACTTGCGTTCAGATATGCAAGGGTACAAACAAGCGGAAGCTTACCACACCACCTACAGGATGTGGAAGGGGGCAAACAAGAGCAGATACAATACACTACTGACCACGGACAGGCACTTGCCTTCAGATATGCATGGGTACAAACAAGCGGAAGCTTACCACACCACCTACAGAATGTGGAAGGGGACAAACAAGCACAATACACTACAATACACTACTGACCACGGACAGGCACTTGCGTTCAGATATTCATGGTTGTAAGTACGTACACACATACAAACAAGCGAGCGCTTACAACACCACCAACAAACCATACAAGCCAACATACAACATAAAAAATACAAAATACAAAGTACAACATACAACATACAACATACAACATACAACATACAACATATGACATTCAACACACAACATACAACATACAACATGCAACATTCAACATACAACCTCTAACATAGAACCCACAACAAACAACCCACAACATACAACATCCAACATACAAGGGCATCACCAGATATCCGCAGTCCTTGGAGTCGAAGGCGTAGTGTGTAGCGATGTTGTTCACAGTCGCCATGAGATTGCGGTGAGTGAGTGGCACACCCTTGGGCATGCCCGTCGTCCCACTTGTGTGCAGAAACAGCGCCTTGTCATCCACACTCCCCTCGCTCGCCTCAGTCGGCGTGGCTGTGGGTGAAGGAGAATATGGGCAAGAGGATCGGGGTGAACCTTAATAATATGTGTATAACAGTGTGTCTTATCACCTTTCTTAATTGAAATGTACAAAGCTACAAATATGGGCAAGAGGATCGTTGTGTACATATTTATAGAATGTGTATACAACAACGTGTCTTATTACCTGTCTTAAATAAAATGTACACAGCTATGCGTCTCACCAACCAGATATGATGTGAGGATGTGGACAGCTGTGTGTAAGCAAGGGTCCCGCCCTAGGGTGCACCTTGCACGCTCCCATCGGGCTGACATGCACTTGCACCGAGACGGTCCGAATAAATATGCAATTATAAATTTGCCTGCAACATACAGACATTTAGTGCTGAAATCCCCGCGGCTTTGGATTCTATACTATAAAATCGGCAATTTATCATGTACTTGCCGACACGTATAAATATAAATGCCAAAATTTGTGTGCGTGTTCATGTGAATCTATATCTCTGCAAAATCTGTGTGACAATGTATATGAATATACACACAAACGGGTCCATATACTAACCTGTACATATTGATTCGCAAAGGGACGTCACCCATTGCAACCCTGATAGATTCAGTTCAGTACCAATTCATGCCCAGACACGCCACAGTCGCCCTAGCTCTAACACATACATAGAATAACCCAATAGCATATCCAGCTACACCTACCATCCTTCAGTTTTCCGGCTGGATCAGACTTCACAGTAAGCGTGTTGGTATGGCCATCCTCACTCTGCGTAAGCGTGCACACAGGAATGTCCAAGAGCAACGCCGCCTCATACGCACAGGCGTTGCCTTCAGCCGGGATGACCAGCACGTCAGACGAGATGTCCTTCAAATAGAACTCAAACTCTTTGGTCTGTTTGTGCGTTCAGATACATATCCCGATGCACGCCACACGTGTCGCGTGATAGGTCAGTACACTCCAGTGGTGATGGTTTGGGGGTGGTTATAAACTGCGCAAACGCCATAGGGACTGACCCCATTGTTAAGTATTGGGGTGCGCATGGGCCCACAATCAGTACTACCGAAGTGCGCTAATGCGGTGGTTGAGACTTACGCTTGTGGTGGTAGGTAGAAGTGCGGCGTGCACCATGAGACAGTGCTTTTGGTACAAGAAAGCACATACGTTATGGGAAGAAACCAAATAACCCAGATTGTATGGGACCATGGATCACCGTGTTTAAGCGCTAAGTGAAACAGGTATTGGTCACCGCACACACCCGGTCAGATGAGGCTATCAATGCTTCAGTCTAAAAGTGCTCGCACACGTACCATGGGTTCACAAGTATATCAGAAACATGATATAGGTAATCTACATCAATATATATAGTGTATGCCCACGTCCTATGACACAAAAGACAGGGCTGTAGACAAACACTCACCCATGAGCTATCTAGAAGCGTAACTGACCCATATCCACATATTTGAACGACAACCTATCTGTATGGCTATTCGTTATGTGCCTCCTTATATACCGACTAAATCTAGATCATTGATTCAACATCCCACACATCTTATACTTCCAGTTCACAAAACCCCTAAAACCCTATACCCACACCTGTCTAAATCATTGATTCAACAACCCACACACCTTATACTTCGAGTTTAAAGGCGCCGCAAGCATACGAGACGTGACCGCGGCCAAGAACAACTTCACGTTCAGTACGTTGTTTGGGAATGTCATGCTTATGACAGACCCCGTGCCCAACCCCAATGCACGCAGCTGTTCGCCAATCTGATTTCAAACAGTCCACCAACAATGTGATATATTGCACAACCATACGGTGGTGCAAAAAGAATCACAATGAGGGATAGTAGAATAAGGCCGACATCAAAAATCAACCGGGGGAAGGATAT